AGCTTGGAGGAAAGTTGTGCAAATGAGAGGAGTCACAAACTAGTTCAGGATTTTGGTCTCAGCCACTAGAAAACCAGTGTTGCCATTCACTGATTTGGAGAAGCCCATGAAAGGGAAGTTTGGGGGTTGGGAATCAGGAGTTTAATTTGGACATATTAAATTTGAGATGATGCCAATTATATCCAAGCGAAGTTGAATAGGCTGTGTGTGTGTGTGTGTGTGTGTGTGTGTGTGTGTGTGTGTGTATACAGGTGTCATCAGCATTTGGGAGCATTTGAAACTGCATGAGGTCACCAAGAGAAGGAATGTTAAATAGACAAGCTGTCAGAGAAATGATTTAGGCTCTTAATCATATAGAAGTCAGGAGAACCAGAGAATGAGCAGTCAATGAGATAAGAGAATCAAGAGGGAGAGGCATTCCAAAAGCTAAACTGTTAAAAAACAAAACAGAAAGTTTTAGGAGGGAGTAACTGTCAGAGGTTTCAGATAGGGCAATAAGACAAGACTTGAGAATTAATCATGGAGGTCATTGCATTCCTTAACAAAAACAATTTCTATGGAGTAACGGAGATGAAAGCCTAAATTGGATTTATTCAAGAGAACAGAGGAGGAGAGAAATTGGACACCATGTGTACAGACAGTTCTTTCAAGATTGGTAAAATAAAGGAGGACAAAGGGGCCAGAGCTACAGGGAGATGCAGGGTCAAGATTTTTTTCTCTAAACCTGGAATATAAATATAAATATGTATGTTTATATTACTGCTGGTGGTAATTCAGTAGTGAGTGAAAAATTCAGAAGAGGGAGAATTGCTGGATCAATGAATGTCCTTAGGTAGGCAAGAGATGAGATGCAATGTGCAGTAGAGAGGTTCATCCTGAGAGGAATGCAGACAGACACTTTCTTCATAGGAGTGCAAGGAAAGCAGAATGGGCACAGATGCAGGGAGGTGGGTAGCTATGGTATCTGGACATAGGGAGATTCTCTTCTCATTGCTTCTGTTTTCTCAATGAAATAAGCAGCTCAGTCATTAGCTGGTAGTGAGAAACCAGAGGAAGTGGAAATTTGAGGTTAGAGAGGAAGGTTTAAAATAGTTCTCTAGGGAAATAGAAAGCAGATGGATTAGGGCAATGTGGATGGATTGCCAGACAGCATTGAGTCCCTTTGAAATTAGTGACCATAAATTTAAGGCGAAAATAGTCAGTGGGATTGTGTGCTTTTGTCCAGCTGTGGTCAGCCACCCTGGTGGAGATGCAGAGTGGGTAAAGAATTGAATTTAACCAGGATAGACGTTTGGCCATGTGAAGGCCCTGAAGGGAGAGGCAAGAAAGCTGATTGTGTATTCTAGGCTGTGAGTATAATGGTGGCTTATGGGGTTTAATCTGAGTAAAGCAAATGAAGACATGCTGGGATTTTAGTTTTTGATGCAGCTTAGGGATCAACGAACTCAGGGTTTTGGAGGATATTGGAAAGCTAAGAGGTGGTCAGTTAGGGAGTAGAGAAGCCTGAAACTGTGATTCTGGAGTGGGTGCAGGTACTGATGATAGGGTCTAGAGCTAGTGATTCTCAGCCCGGGGGGTTTCGCCTCTGAGGAGGCATTTGCAATGTCTGGAGACGTTTTTGGTTGTCATAACTGGAGGCAGAGGAGATACTGCTGTCATCTGGTAGAGGCCAGGGGTGCTGCTCAACATCCTACAAGGCATGTCAGTAGTGCTGAGGTTGAGAAGCCCTGGTTTAGGGTATGATAAAATAAAAACTTCAGCTGAATTTAAATTTAAAGGAGTTTAATTGAACAATGAATGAATTGCGAATTGGGCAGCCTTCTGAGCCAAGGTAGTCTCAGAGATGCCAGCACAGCCATGTGGTGGAAGAAGATTTATGTACAGAAAAATGAAAGTGATGTACAGAAAATGGGAGTGAGGTACAGAAACAGCTGCATTGATTATAGCTTGACATTTGCCTTATTTGAACACACTTTGAACAGTTGGCTACATTTGATTGGCCAAAACTTGGTGATTGGCACAAGATGATTGGCTACGGCCTGTTTACACCTATACTTGTTATAGTTCACAGTGTACAGAAAAACCCTTATGCTGAACTTAAAATATATATAACGAGGCAGCTTTAGGCTAAATTTGATTGAACAAGTATGACCGTAGAAATGAGTGGCTGGGATAGGCCTGATCTTACCCAGATTGTTGGAGAAGAGAAACAGACTAAGGTTTTAGAAGGTTTATCTTACGACTGATGAAATCTCCAAAAATGATGACAAGAGTAGTATTAGAGAAAAGCGTAGATAGCCAGGGATGGAAGAAGCTAATTTCTCAGTGTGTGGAGTCATTTTCTTTTTCTTGAGCTAGCTGATAGGCTAGCTTTGGATTTCATAATCCTGGCTAAGAGCTACACGTTCAAATTAGCCAAAGAGTGTTGTGTGTTTTTTAAAAAGTCACCTGTTTATTAACTAACTTTGGTATAACGAAATCTTTGTCTTAAAATAGATGCCTAAAAGCTGTTTGGGAATTTGGTTAGTCTTTATGCTCAAAATTCTGTGACTGTAAACGTGCACGCATGGTCTAATTCCATCTTCAAATAATGTTTCAGGATGACAAGTCTTGCAACCAGGCCTTGAGGAAGGGATCTGGTTTAAGAAAATCCTTGAGAAGGCCAGGTGCAGGGGCTCACGCCTATAATCCCAGCACTTTGCGAGGCCGAGGCCGGTGAATCACCTGAGGTCAGGAGTTCGAGGCCAGCCTGGCCAACATGGTGAAACCCCTTCTCTACTAAAAATACAAAAATCAGCCAGGCATGGCGGCAGGCATCTGTAATCCCAGCTACTCAGGAGACTGAGACAGGAGAATTGCTTGAACCTAGGAGGCGGAGATTGTGCCACTGCACGCCAGCCTGGGTCACAAGATTGAGACTTGGGAAAAGAAAAAAAAAGAAAGAAAGAAAGAGAAAATCCTTAAGAAACCTTATTTATAGACTTTAGAGACTGTGGCTTTCCAGTACTCATCACCATGGAGAAAACTAGTCAAAATCACACAGAGTGAATAAGGGTTGCAAGCCAGTGCTGCTTCCTGGAATAAGCTGGTCCACTAGTCTAGTCTTGTGCTTTGTCCTTCATTTTGAACCCAAGTGCCCTGGGGCTACTTTTCTGCCTACCCACAATAGCAAGGAACTCTTTTGTTTGCATCTCCTCTGAAAGAAATGCTTGTTTTGAGGTTTGGACCACAAATAATAATCTGTTGTTCCCTGTAATAATAATCCACCCTCTTTAGCAGAAAAAAAAATCTGCTTGATGCAGTATGGCTATCAGTTTATTTAAAAGAATAGCCAAAAGTGCCCATTGTGTCCTGAGAATAAACATTTGCAAGATGGTTGGGAGGAATGGGGGAGTACTCTTGTTCTCCTTGGCTGAGAGTCAGTTAAGTCTTCAAGGAGAAAAAATTCTGAAAATGACCATCAGTCCTGGCTGACAATACTCTTCCTTATTCTGCCCATCTGTTACATTCTAAGAATAATTGCAACACTGCAGATATCTATTCCAAACTATTTCTTTAAAAAATATCGAAGATGGATATTTTTAAGTTACCAATTTTAGGCCAAATAAGTTTTTTCTTTTTCTTTCATTTTGTCTGTGAAAGCATTGCTTTTATAGCAGCATGTTCAAGTTAGCAATCTTTAACAATTTGGCAAATACTTTTAGCAACAATCCTTAACAATTCCTGCAGTTGCCTGTGATTGCAGATCTTGAAAGAAGAGCCATTTTTATATTCCAAGTGGTAGACGCATTTTAATTACTATTTCCTGGGCTTAGGCTAACTGACAAAACTTGATGGGTAAAATGAAAATGTGATATACGGTGTAATCAGCTGTTTACTTACCTAGCACAGTGAAATCTTATGGTAGGTATGGTTTCACTAACAAAACCAAAATAAGCATTTTTCTTCCTTAAGTTCTTTATAAGAAAAGGATCAGTTAAATAATAAATGTGGCTTTAAAATCAAGTTATATCTTAGGATAGTTTTAATTGCATTATACATGGGTGATGAGAAGAGTTCAGTGTGATAATTGCGTAACAGATGCGCATCAGAACTACTTAAAGAAGTAAAAATACGCCCATCACGTCATTAAAAATAGACCATCAGGGAAGCCACCAAGAAGTCCTTCAGAAGGTGAATGAATAAACTGTGGTACGTCCATACAATTTGTGTATTATTCAGCAATAAAAAGAAATGAGATATTATGCCACACAAAGACATGGAAGAAAGTTAAATGCATATTACTAACTGAAAGAAGCCAACCTTAAAAGGCTACATGCTGCATGATTTTAACTAGATAACATTCTAGAAAAGGCAAACCTATAGAGACAGTATAAGGTCAGTGTTTGCCAGGGATGTGCGGGAAAGGAGGGCAGGAATAAATAGGTGTAGCACAGGAGACGCTTAGGGAGTGAAACTGTTCTATATGATACTGTAATGGTGGCGATGTCACTACACACCTTTGTCAAAATCCATAGGATCTACAACACTAACTCAAATCCTAATGTAAACTATGGACTTTGGTTAACGATGATATAACCATATTGGCTCATCAATTAAAACAAATGTATAGCACTAATGCCAGATGTTAATAATAGGAGAAACAGGATGGCCATGGGGGAGTGAGGGAATATGAGAATTCTACCTTCCATTCAATGTTTCTGTAAACCTAAAACTGCTCTTTTAAAAAGTCTATTAGTTAAATAAATATTCAATATAGCCAAACTAATAAGCATATCTTAACTAAAAAGCAATACAAACCTAAACTATCAGCAATTATTCTGTTTATGGTACTATTCTGATTGAACTTAGCTATAGAATATTCTGCCAGAAATATGTAATGGCAATGAATTACTGTATATATCTAGTAACTTCGCTGTATCTTTTCTTGTCTGGCAAAAATGTGCAGTGGTATTCATGCTAAGTCCTACTTTTAACTACCCTTATTCCTCTCTCTTCAGTGACAGCTGGAGTATCAGCCTTGGAAGTATATACACCAAAAGAAATCTTCGTGGCAAATGGTACACAAGGGAAGCTGACCTGCAAGTTCAAGTCTACTGATGAGACTGGCGGGTTGACCTCAGTCACGTGGAGCTTCCAGCCAGAGGGGGCTGACACTACCGTGTCGGTAAGAATGCTTGACTACTCTTGGCTACTCCTACCTCACAGGTTTCTTTACTGCTGTATAATTAGTGATCCATTTTTCTGATGGTTCATTTCTAAAATGAGTGCATTTATTATCTATTACAGACTTCAAGGCCCTTCTCTTGCTTCAGGATAAAATAAGTTCAGCATGTCTTAAATGCAGCTGGTTTCCTTGTCTTTGCTCAGTTCCTCTCCACCATCAAATCCCATTCTGAAATTGATCTTAATTGACTCTAATCAGGATTTATCCTGCATCTTTTCATCTTTCATTGCCCCATTTTTATTGATATTTATTTTACATATTACCAGATTTTATATATATGTGTGTATATGTACCTTCTGATTTGATTTTTTTTTTAATTTAGCGTATAGTCCATCTGATTTAGCAATATTGATTGGGAGCTTACTATGTAGTGGGTTACGTAGGGCCTTCAAAAATGTCTAAAACAATCCTTGCTGTCACCCAGAGATGATTAGAAGGAAGGCTGTTATATACTTGACTTTGGAGTAAGATGAAGGATGTAACAGAAATACAGCACCAGAGGGTTGAAAAAAAGGTTAGCTAGTAACTAGTGGAGTGTTGGTTATGCAGTGGGTGTTTATTAAACATTAACTGACTATCCTGGTTCTGGTCTGTAAAATGGAGAGGATAAAACCTCCCACACAAGGGTGTTAGGAGGATAAAGTAAGATTATACAAGACAAGTGCTCAGGAAAGTGTCTAGCTCTTGAGTTACTAATATACACAATTTGTTGTTACTGTTGCTCTCCCAGCATGTTGAATGCCCTTCAAATATTGGCACATATTTTAGTACTGTTGCACTTTTCAAGTTGTTAGTACTTAGCAAGGACAGTCTGTCATCTATCTTTAAGAATACCCAGCTAGGCACGGTGGCTCACGCCTGTAATCCCAGCACTTTGGGCGGCCGAGACGGGCAGATCACGAGGTCAGGAGATCAAGACCATCTTGGCTAACACAGTGAAACCCCATCTCTACTAAAAATACAAAAATTAGCCGGGAGCGGTGGCAGGTGCCTGTAGTCCCAGCTACTCGGGAGGCTGAGGCGGGAGAATGTCGTAAACCCGGGAGGCGGAGCTTGCAGTGAGCTGAGATCCGGCCACTGCACTCCAGCCTGGGTGACAGAGCGAGACTCCGTCTCAAAAAAAAAAAAAGAATACCCAATTCTTCTGAATGGTGAGTTACATTTGTTGATCACCACCTAGATGTTGGGCCCGTCATATGCCTATGCCATTTACTCTTCACAGCTCTATGTGGAAGACAGGGTGGGGAGGATGGGAGACACTGACTCAAGATTATTCACCAGTGGCCACACCACACAGGTTAGAATTGTTGAAAGTTCAATACGGTATGATTTCCCTTATATATTATTTCTCTCTCAGGTAGAAAACTCTGCTAATAATATTTACTGCCTCATAGGTTTTAGGGATTACCTAAGGCAGTGCTTCTCAGTATTTTTTAAAATTTATATTTAAAAGGAGCCTTTTGACATTTTTTCTTAATCTCTGCCCCCTTCCATGAAATTTTAATATGGTAGATATCCTCTGTATCTGTTTTATATATAAAAGAGTAAGATTTTCTCAAAGCTTCCCACCCAAGAGCAAGTGTTTGCTCCCTTGGGGGAGAATCTGCCCTATGGAGAATGCATAGTCTAGAGGTCTTTATAAGAGAGGCCTTCCCTTACAGTAGCCATAATGGTGAGCACAGAGATCCATACAGATATCGTGGGAAGACATACAAAGGCATTCTCTGCTTCACATAAATATGGCATCAGCATAGAACATACACTAATGTTCCCATAGAGGCAAGATTAAACACATAAGTTTACTCAAGAGAATCCAAAGAACTATTTAAACATTTAAAGATTTCCCACTGAAGTCTTTTGCAAGAGTTGGTGTGAGGGCCATTATTTAAGTCCATAGAAAATGAAGCAGTCATCAGGAAGACACCCAGAGGTAATAACTTTCTTTTAAAGAGCAGTTCCATTTCTGCTGGAAACAGTCTGGTCAAGTGGGTCCATGAAGGTTTACATAACTCAGGCTTACTATTCAGAACATGCTGTAATTCTGATTAATATTTTTAGCTAATCAATTTATACTTACACACGAGTCTGATTGCAGTTAATCCGAGCATGTTCAGTTATTGACATAGGATCCTTTAATTCCAAAATGTCGGGACACATTTAATAAGATGAGTGGGTTGCTTTTTTGTTTTTGTAGGTTTTACAGGAAAAGTATATTCAAACCCAGTATATTCAAAAGCCATACTGTAGATGGCTTTTTTGTCCCATGGCCTCAGGATCCACATATCTGAAACTGAACTCATTTTTTCTCCCTTCTGTTTCCCTTCTTTGCCTTTTTTTTTTTTTTTTTTGGCGGGGGGAGGGGGGCGTGTAATTATGTTCATCTAGAGATGAGTTTTGTGATCAATTTTTGTTTTGTTTTGTGTTTTCTGCCCTTTCCTTCCCTGTCCCTTACCACTTCCCTTCTGTCCCCAAGAAATAAGAACCTTTGCTGGTTCTTCCTACTTTGTTTCTAGCATCTAGCTTTTTGTCAGCCTTCCTGTGTCTCTGCTGTCTATTGAGCAATGTTAACTGTGTGCCTGGTCTCGTGCAGTAACCCCTTGTTATTCTTCTGCTTCTGTGTTTTCATCTTTCAATCCAACCCTCATATGCCAGCAGGTGCGTAGTCTTATAACAGTTCTTTCACCTTTCCACTGCAAGTTGTCAGAAACTTAGATACCCGTTGCTGACAACATTTGTCTAGAATTAAAAGCTCATTACAGTTTTGCCCAGCCTACCACTTTAGCCACGCTTCTGTTCTCTTACGGCATTACTTCCAGTTTAGTAAAAATGCTTTGTGCTTTGTTTTCCTACTTCTGAACACTTGTCATTTAAGCTGTACCCCATTTTTACCTTCTGTCTCCTCCATAATGCCTCTTTTTTTAAAAAAACCTTTTAGCCCTTAAAACTCACTACCCTTATCTGGGCCATTCCTGTAATACAGATCCCTTAATATGACAGTTTTCCTCTTCTTCATCCTGAATATGGGTGTTTTAAGAGGACATGCCTATCTTACATCTTTAGTATACCTCATAGCTTTAGCACCATGGCTTGTACTTTAAAAATATTGATTGATAATGATTCTAGTCTTTTCTGTGAATTTTTCACTGTTTTATTTCCATCTCTCAAAGGTTTGACCAAGGCATTATTCCTCAGTTTGGTTCAGCAGACTATGTAGTTCCGGCTGTGTGCAAAGTGCTAAGGAGTACAGAGATAAATACAGCTTATCCCCTGCCTTCAAATGGCCCCCAGTCAATGAGGGAGCCTGCCTGAGGGAGCTGTCTTAGACCCAGTGCTGGGAAACAGCATCATGTAGCTCATCCCCGCTGGTTCACAAATGTAAGGCAGGGAATATGTGGAGATGTTGTGGGAAGGGAAGGCAGAGAGCTGATGATGGAAGGATTCGTTTGCAAAGCTGAGAGTTTATGGTTCATTTTTCTGGTGAAGAAGAGAGAGTGAAGGACTTTGAACAGATAAGACATGATCTCACCCAAGAGGCATTAAACATTGAAAATAGCATAAGCTTTGAAATCAAAGCTGAGTTTGAACTCCATCTCTAAAACTTGTAACTTTGGGAAAGTAACCAAGGTTTCCTGAGCCTCACATTCCCTGTTGATGAAATATCAGGTAGGTGAGTCTCACCTTGCAGGGTGGTTGTGAGGGTTGGAGAGTTGTTGGGAGACAGTTTTCCGTGGGTCTTTCACGTTTTTGCACACCTTGCTAGCAAAGGCACTGGCTGCCTTTGTTCTGGACTTTGTTTGTGCAGTAACTAGCCTTGGAGAGCAGAGATGATATCTCCCTCTGGAGCAGAGGACAGGTTTGTTTATTCTTGAGTATAGTGAAGGTAGTGTCTCCATTCAGGGCTAAAGTCAGACATGTCTTCTGCCCCTTGTAAGAGATTTGTGTTCCCTGAGCTTGGGGTTACTCCGCTGTGACATAATGCCCCTGCCTGCACAACATCCATGTGAGCCCCTCCATGTCATGGCTGTGGGACTTGGGGGGCAAGGGGAACAAACACATGCTTTCTGCTCATAAGGTTCTTTGTTTCTGAGTCTTCTTCATGGGAGTGAAGATTTCACAGGAGTTTGTGTCTTCTGTCAGCCATGTATGAACATGTGGCCAACTAACTTTGTTAGCTTGTAAGTAGGGTAAAATCCCAGACCCTTCAGCGTTCTTAACAGGCATTTAGATCATATGAAATGCAGGGTAAATATTTGATAAATGTTTTAATAATAACCATTATTCTTTATCAGTGATCATTTAGGTATTGTGGAAGATGATGAGTTAGACATACCAGTTAAGAGGCCCAAGATAATGAAAGCATAAAAACAGACATTGTCATTGGGAACTGAATAGAGAGAAGGGAGAACTGAGAGAAACTAATGAGACAAATTGACAATACTGGGGGATTAACTGGATGGGAAGAAAGAGAATCAAGGATTACTTCAAGATTTATGGTTTGGGAAAGAAACGGTAGCCATCAGTGAAGATGGGATACATGAAGTTTGTAAGAGAAGGTGACAAGCTTGGGGGAGAGGGGCAGTCAGGTGGTAAAGTGAGTAGGCAGTTGGGCGAGGAGTCTAGAGCTTACGGGACGCTATTGATGAGAGGTCTGGGAGTTAAGAAAATCCAGATGATCATTAAATCATGCGAATGGATGAGTCTGCACTGGTGTTTTCAGCATGCTCAGACAGTTCTGAAAATGTTCTGTTTGCATTGCTAATAGAGCTGGTTTCTATCCCCAGCTCCACCATCACCCGGGCCATGAACCAGACATCAGGCCTCCAGCATAGCTGCTTGGATTAGAGCCAAGTGTGAAGATAGATCCCCTCCCACTGGGCCTTAACCCTGCTTCCGGATGCTGAATTTGACAAGGTTTACTTTGAGAAGACAGTTCCTTTGCTGAAAGCAGGACTGAGGAGAGAGTGAGGAGTGGAAAGAGAAAGGGGTCAAAGACTGAACTTTCAAAAGAGTATCTTGTGTTATCTGGACTTTGTTCCTTTCACACACCCGTGACTTCTCCATAGGAAACCAGAAGGAAGAGGGAGAAACTCAGATTAGCTGATCTGAGATATTTAGGATTCTTTTCCTTTGTGCCTTTGTGTATCTTAGTGGTAAGCTAAGTGAACACTAAGCTTTCTGAAGCCTTAGGGATCACTGGGCTCAATTATGGTGTTATTGGAAGAACATTGACTTTGAAGACTCAGATGGGTCTAAATTTTACTCTGGGTCCCCAGTTACTATCATTGGGACCTTGGGAAAATGGCTTCTCTTAAGTCTCCATTTTGTCTTTTATAAAATTATGGGTGGTAATAATTATATCAGTGAAATACTGAGAGGATTCAAGATGACGTGTGAGTCTGATTCTTCCATTGAAACCTGGCAGAGTTGAGTCCCATGATCTCTAAACTTCTATCTGGCTTAGATTCCATAACTTGTGATTTGTAGTATGATGTTGCATTTCTTTCAGTATGAAGTCTTTAAAAGAACCTTTCATAGCATGCACATTACAGAGTTTAGGAATTCTGCCTTTGAGAATAGTTCATGTGTTCCTTTTTTCTAATTGCAGTTTTTCCACTACTCCCAAGGGCAAGTGTACCCTGGGAATTATCCACCATTTAAAGACAGAATCAGCTGGGCTGGAGACCTTGACAAGAAAGATGCATCAATCAACATAGAAAATATGCAGTTTATACACAATGGCACCTATATTTGTGATGTCAAAAACCCTCCTGACATCGTTGTCCAGCCTGGACACATTAGGCTCTATGTCGTAGAAAAAGGTACTTCCTTGAGTGTTTTCGCAGTAATAATGCAGTCTCCTTTATCTCATGTTTGGATGGAGAACCAGAGTTGCATTTCATGGTGGGTTTGGAGGGAGGATTTTTGCCGTACAGTTGTGTGCTCCCTGTTGCCGTGATCCTGTGGCTCTACCAAACACACTTGGAATTGGGGAACTGTTGCTCATTCTGACCCAGAGTGGCTGATTCTCCATTTTTATTCCTACCGTCTGGAGCCTATTAGTCTAATTTCAGGAATATTAATATTTCAGTGTTAATCAGAAGAAAGACCAAATTCATTATGTTTGGATGTGATGGACAGTGGGAAAGAAGGAGATTCATACTGTTTTATACTCTCCAGGAGAAAGTTTTCAACAACAGCACAGTTATTTCTCCCTTTTGATTTTGAGAACAAACAGGAAATGCAGGTTCTGGTGTCTCATTTTTGAGACAAAGTCTGCTTTGTCGGAGAGTAGATCCAGGTAAATTCACACCTCCAGTTTCTCGTTAGAACACTGAGAGGGATTGTAGGTGTAGAAATGCTTAGTTCCATAGTTCATTCTTTCTCATCTAATATTCACATGTCATGAATTACATAGTAATAGGATAGACAGTGGGATCTCATAGTTTGTATAATAAAAGAGGGTACAGTAACTGCTAAATGAAAATACTTGCTTGTTAATTTAATAAAATTCCATGTTTTCTCTCTGTAGCAACGTACCTTAAAACTATTTTGTTCTTGGCTGGGCGCGGTGGCTCAAGCCTGTAATCCCAGCACTTTGGGAGGCCGAGACGGGCGGATCACGAGGTCAGGAGATCGAGACCATCCCGGCTAACACAGTGAAACCCCGTCTCTACTAAAAAATACAAAAAACTAGCCGGGCGAGGTGGCGGGCGCCTGGGGAGGCTGAGGCAGGAGAATGGCGTGAACCCGGGAGGCAGAGCTTGCAGTGAGCTGAGATCCGGCCACTGCACTCCAGCCTGGGCGACAGAGCGAGACTCCGTCTCAAAAAAACAAAACAAAACAAAACAAAAACCAAACTATTTTGTTCTTTTTCTCTAGAGAATTTGCCTGTGTTTCCAGTGTGGGTAGTGGTGGGCATAGTTACTGCTGTGGTCCTAGGTCTCACTCTGCTCATCAGCATGATTCTGGCTGTCCTCTATAGAAGGAAAAACTCTAAACGGGATTACACTGGGTAAGAAACACTGTTTTCTAGGGCAGGGGTGGAGGGAGGGAATCAGGGTTTATAAAAACTTATGTATTTAATGAAAAAAGGATTCTGAAGAATTAACTACTGTTTTCTTTCATGTCAGAATCAGGCAGTCTCCTTTGGAGGTGTTCTAACATAGGCAAGCAGAAATCAGTGGGCCTGCTATGAAATGTGGAATGATTCTAATCTTTGTTCCAGTTTCCTTCTTAGGTTTGGTGAGATGAGCTGCTCAGCAGTTTGTGCTCTGTGTTTCAATATATGCACTATGCAATTAGTATTCTTAGTCTTAAGACTTAAGACTTAGTCTTAAGTCACTTACCCAATTTAAGAGTTTAATTTCAATTTCTTGGTAATAAACTCACAAGGTGGTTCTTTCCAGTTGGGAAATATAAAACCCTAATTAAGAAGAAGTTGTGAGCTGGAAGTAGTGGCATGCGCCTGTAGTCCCAGCTACTTAGGCTGAGGCGGGAGGATTGCTTGAGCCCCAGTGTTTGAGTCTAGCCTAGGCAACAGAGCAAGACCCTGTCTCTTTAAAAAAAAAAAAAAAAAAGAAGAAGAAGAAGAAAAAGAAATGGTTTTAATAAACTACCTCCCCCAGTCCAATGTGATGATGGTGCAGGGATTTTCCTTTTTGTAGTTCCCCTACCCTACTCCAAGCTTAAGTATCTTTATTGCTTTGATCATTCTTAGCTAGAATCACCCACAATGGGATAATGAGTTGATAACAAAATATATCAGCAATAAAGAAAAATAGACTTTTTGTTTATGGCTTCTCAAATGGAACACGTTTAAGCATAGGGTGCGTGTCTAATTAAAGGACCTTCTCTTTTCCCCACCCCAGCTGGAAAGCTAACCCATATAAGCTATGTAGATCTCATGTGGTAAGACTGGGAGCAGAGGCTGGATTCAAGTTGATGTAGCATGAGCAGTGTTGCAGGTGCACAGATCTAACTTTAACCATCCTGAAGGGACTCTGATGGGAAAGGATTGCATGTCCTGAACTCTTGCTGGTGGATGGTGGGAACCTCTATCTATGGGCTCTGCTGATCTAGAGTTTTTAGGAGTGCCGTGTTTTAACAAGTTTGAGTGTTCAAATTCAGATATTACTTGCTTGGAATGCTTCTATTCTGCTGACTGTATCTGCCCCCCTTGCATGGTGAGTGTTTTATGATTAAATATAGCTGGACGATTGATTTTCAACATGAGACTAATCCAGGGTGGTGACATGCCAGTCTTTGTAGTTCTTGCTTTGGGGTTAATGAGGGGCAGGAACAAGTTCCTTCGACTCCTGCATGGCATCGTGAATGCTGCTGTTCTTCTTACTTTGGTTTTTTTCCTCCTCCCCTGCCTTTTCTACCTTGGTGTGCTGGGATCAGATCCTGCTTATCTTCTACTTCTTAAGAAAAGCTGACATAGAAGACACATTGGGACTATAACAGGGCTGGGTCTCCTCTTCCACTCCCACTAGACACATGGTAACTAATCACATTGCCCGTTGCTGTTAATATTCCTGTGTACGTATTCAGCCCCTCTCCCCTGTTAATGACTAACCAGCTAGCTCTGAGCTAACCCAACAGCTATGATGATTTGTCCACAAGTATGTCACACGTTTGTATTGGAAACATGTTGAGCAAACCATCCGGATGAAACTGGGTTGTCAAGTTACATAGAGTTTTTATGCACATCTGAATATTTGTGCTCTTCGTGTAAAATGCCATTGCTTATGTGTGTGTGTGTGCATTAGTTTTCTTTTTTCATACATGTATTGTGTTATCAATAAGTAAGATCCTGACTGATTATGTCTTAGAATAATTAAACAATTTTGGTTCAGAGCATGTAGCCTCCCATTTCAGAGAAGGAACAGTTTGCAGAATGCATGGTATGCTTTGGTCTTAGTAATGACGCTTTAAATGTGATTCTCCCCAAACTCCTAAGTTTTAAAAAGTATACATCATAAGGCTTTAAGCTGTACTTATGACACATCGCATTGGAAAATCCCTACGCTGTACCCCAGCTGGCTTACTTCCTGGCATTCACTTTCCCTGATTCATTTATGAGACAGTGCTTATTGTTAAAGACTCCTGTCCCCGTGAAAAGGTTCAGCCTGTGTGACGTGGCATTCCCTAGTTTCTCATTCATGACTTCCTGGGTTTTTGGGGGGATTTGATTGCGGTATTGGTAGGGAATAAAACTATGGAGAGAACAAGGTAAGCCAAGACTTGCCTGGATATATATCTGTAATTTAAAACATACATTCAGAAGGGGTTTGCCTTTGATTGTAACAAAAGTGAATTGCCATTAAACTATTAAAAGGTACCATAGAGCTTGTTCCCTTAAACCTTTATCCCAAAGGAGGGTTGATGGCAGGGGGAAAAGACAAACAGCAAAAGGAAAAATGTGTACTGTAACCAGAATCTCAATATGATTTTTGTAAACTGGGTTGAAGAGGTTGTACCACATTTGTTTCTGTGCCTCCCCAGTGATGAGTTCATTGACTTAGAAGAATGAGTGAGTGTCAGGAATAGAAAATAGTTTTAAAATATGTGATCATTTTGATACCCATTGTTACGTTGTCTTTTGTTTTTATGTATCTGTTGCTTCATCTTGCCGTCACTTGCATTTCTATATTTTTGTTTCTATTTATTATTATTTTTTACACTTGTTCTTCAAATTGCCAATTCTTCAGCTGCAGTACATCAGAGAGTTTGTCACCAGTTAAGCAGGCTCCTCGGAAGTCCCCCTCCGACACTGAGGGTCTTGTAAAGAGTCTGCCTTCTGGATCTCACCAGGTAATGGGTGATTGCGATTCTGCTCACTGCACTGTTCCCTACAGCTTGGTGCTCTGTCACTTCGCTGGGTGTGGAAAAGAATACTGAGCTATGAGAGACAGAGACAGACAGACAGACAGAGACAGAAAGAGAAAGGGTGGGAGTGAGGAATTAAAGGGCTGGCTTAGGAATACCACAGGAAAGTATGTGGTGAAAAATCTGCTTGAGCAAAGATTTCCATGAAACCACCAATAACATAAATTGTTTATTAACAATGTGGCTTCCTTGCCCCAAGCAGAATTAGGAAGTGGCTTGTCAGTAAAAGATTCTTCTTTAATTGCCCAAGGAAATGAATCTAGTGAACGAGATTCTTTCTGTATTGAGGTACTCTGTAAGATAAGAAATTAGCAGGGAAAAGTTGGTTTTCTTAGTATTGATAATAAAACAAAAATTTTCTACAGATTCTTTAGAAAAAATGGAAAGTAAGCATTTATCTGAATAATTAATAGGCTTGATGAACAAGGAATGGTTTTGGTTTCTACTTGTGGAAAGTACAGAAGAGAAACAGGTTTTATTTGGAAGTTGGCATATAATCTAGCTTTGTGTGTTTTGGCTATCGTATTTTAATTATAATTGTGGCTTGGCAAAAATTCCATAGCTTTGTTCATTCAGTTTGATTCTTCTGGGGTAGAATGCATGCTAAAGAATTTGGCCAGTTATAGCTTTGTCCTAAAAAGGTGTTAGCTGGTGGGAATGGATTTTAGAGGAAATAAAGAGAGTAACAGTGTTGTGGGAAAAGTGCCCATAGTCTTACTCCATAGTTGTTATATGTGGTGAGGAAACTACGGCATTGTGATGTTAAATTACTAAAAGCACACACCTAGTTGGTGACAGAACTGGGGCTAGAACCCAGGTGTCCAGACATTATGTTCTCTACCACAGCATCAAGCTCATTACTTGTTCCTATTCAGTCTATCTGTCTGTCTTTCTCTCAGATTACATAATATGCATCAGATACCTCAGTCTACTAATTTGGGTTGTGAACAGGAATAGGGTTGTGAATGAAGACATGAAAGTTACACATAGGCATAGCATCTAAAAAAGCCTTGTAACATTTTTCTTCCGCCCTTGAAGCACTATGGAAGTTGCTTTTTTGCTGAAAACAAGCTAGAAAAAAGAAAAAGAAACTATGGTTTTCAAGACAGTGGAACACGGATTATGCAGCACTGTGATCCCCGAGAGAAGGGAAACAGACAATGTGAGCTGTGTTATTGCCCCAGTGTACTGCCTTGAAGCAGTTCCCACACTGCAGTGTAGGTGCGGAAAATGGAAACCGAGCCCAGCTGTCTCACTGAATTGAGAAGGCAGAAATCAGAATTTGGGGAGGTCAAGGAGGCTAGGATTTATGAGGCTGAGTACCAAAGAAGGAACCATAGAGAGAACGTGCTAGGATGAGCACGAGCACTTCAGAGATCTGGAGCAGGGTCCCCTTGAGTCTTTGTCTGATTACAGAGTTGTATACACATAGGAGAAGACTCTCTGAAACCAGGGGAAGAAGTACCTGAAATGCAATGGGTTGCACAATGCCTGGGGCTCACACAGGTCTGGGACTAGTTTGTGTTCCTAAGAGCCAGAGTAGACAGACTTACAATACACAGGATATTGGTTGGGGTTCTCAAAATGGTCATACCTAAATGGGCTAAATTAGCACCAGAATACAGGATGCTATGGACCCACCATAACAAAGCTTAAAAGGAAGTCTTTGAAGAATCAAACTAATCCAAAAGTAATTTAGTTGCATTTTACAACAAAGTCCAACACTCTATGCCACAACAAAATTCAGCACCCAGCAATGTAAAATTTATAATATCTGGCACCAATCAAAAACTACCAGGCATGGCCGGGCACGGTGGCTTACGCCTGTAATCCCAGCACTTTGGGAGGCCAAGGCAGGCGGATCACGAGGTCAGGAGTTAGAGACCAGCCTAACCAACATGGTGAAACCCCATCTCTACTAAAAATACAAAAATTAGCCAGGCGTAGTGGTGTGCACCTGTAATTCCAGCCACTCAGGAGGCTGAGGCAGGAGAATCACTTGAACCTGGGAGGCGGAGGTTGCAGTGAGCTGAGATCACGCCACTGCACTCCAGCCTGGGCAACAGAGTGAGATTCCATCTCAGAAAAAAAAAAACAAAAAAAACAAAAACAAAAACTACCAGGCATAAAAAGAAACCAAAAAATAAAACACATAAGCCAGATATAGTGGTGTGTACCTGTAGTCCCAGCAACTTGAGAGGCTAAAGTAGGATTGCTTGAGCCCAAGAGTGAAAGACCAGCCTGGGCAATATAGTGAGACCCTATCTCAGATAAACAGATGGATGAGCAGAATTCTTACTCTTTTTAAGTACACATGAAAATTAACCAAATATAGACCATATTCTGGGCCATAAAACAATTCTCATTAAATTTAAAAGGGTTGGAATCATATAGAGTATGTTCTCTGGCCACAATGGAATTAAACAGAAAACAATAGAAAGATACCTGGAAAGTCTTAAATATTTCAAAATTGAATAACCCATGAGTAAAACAAGAAGTTACAAGAAAAGTTAGAAAATATTTTGAACTGAGTGAAAATAACAACATATCAAAATTTGTGAGATATAGCTAAAGAAGTACGTTGAAGATTTGTAGCATTAACTGTTTATATTAGAAAAAATGAAGCTCTAAAACTTATGATCTAGGCTTCTGTCTGAAGAAACTAGAAAAAGAAGAGCAAATTAAACCCAACATAAACAGATAGAAATAATAAAGAGAAGAGCTGTGGAAAAATCGGCTGACATTCTCATTGTTTGCCTGTAGGTAATCTGTCTCTTCTCTCTGGCTGCTTTTCAGATCTTCTTTATGCCTTTGGTGTTCTGCATTTTATATACTATTTAATTATAAATTATTCCTTGTTGCATCTGCTTGTAATTTCATTGGACCTCCTGAGTCTTAAGGTTGATATCTTTAATAAATTCTAAAAAAGTTCCAGTCACAATCTCTTTGAATTTCTCCTTTCTGCATTTTATCTATTTATCTTTTTATGGAACTCTGATTATATGTGTATTGTACTGCCTCTATGCTCTAAGTCTCTTAGCCTCTCTTGCATATCTTTCATCGTATTGTCTTTCTGCCATTTTCTGCATAATTTCTTCATCTGCCCTCATTCACTAATTGTTTAGCTGTGACTAGTCTACTGTTTAGCCCCTTTTTAAAGTTTTTAAACTTCAATTTCATATTGTAGGTTTATTTTCTAGAAAATTTATTTGGTTCTTTTTTAAATATACCTGACTAATTTTGATAGTTCCTTAAAACTTCATTATATTTTCAACTATCTTATTTATTTAAGCATATTAAATATTCTTATTTTATACCTCAAAACTGATAATTTCAGTGTCTGTAGTCTTTATTGATCTGACTACGGTTTTTGTTTCTGTATTTCTTGCTAATGGTGGCTATTTTCTCATCTCATGGGGGTTTTATAATTTGAAGACTATACTTATGTTCTTGGCACTTTGTACAAATTGATTGAGTCTTCATTTAAAATACATTTACTCATGAGAAGATTTGTATTTCTTCTGCCTGTGCCTGTGAGAAAAAAAATGCACAGGAGGTAAAAAAATTCTGAGACCTTGCGTGGTATACTGTATAATGGCCCCACAAAGAGGTTCACATACTAATCTTTGGATTCTTTAGGATATGTTACCTTACATATCAAAAAGGACTTGGCAGATGTGATTAAATTGCCTTGAGATGGAGAGATTTTCCTGGGTTATCTGGGTAGCTCCATGGTAACCATAAAGGTCGTTAGAAGAGGGAGGCAGAAAGGTATGCATCAGAGAAAGACTGGAAGATGCTGTACTGCTGACTTTAAAGATGAAGAACTCATAACCAAGGAATACAGGCAGCTTCCAGAAGCTGGAAAAAGCAAGGAGACAGATCCTCTCCTGGAGCCTGTGGAAGGCACGCAGTCCTATTGACACCTTGATCTTAACACAGTGGAACACATTTCAGACTTCAGACCTGTAAAACTGTGAGATAATTAATACGTTTTTAACACCTTTAAAATTATCTTTACTCTCCTCCTTCAAACGTGATTGCTAATCAGGTTGGGTAGGATTCCAGGTTGTAAATCATTTTCCTTCAGCATTTTGAGGCATTGCTGATTGTTCTGGCTTCCAGCATTGTGGCTTAGAAGCTGATGCCATTCTGATGCACTCCTAGGGCAGAGGAAGGTGGGGTCTACCTGAGCAAAGGGAGAGTAAAGATCAGAACCAAATTAGGGGTCTTCCAGCAAAGTGGAGTGGGAGGCTGGGTTGGGAAGGTGTTGTGTTAGATAGGCACTACCTAGAGTGTTAAGGCATTGGGGAAAAGATAAGAAAATTTTTTTTCTTTGTGAAGCTTAGTTTTGAATGAGATTGGTATAAAGTAATTTTTGTATATGTATTTGATGAATAGTTGGTTTTCCAGATCCTTTTCTGGATATCATTGATGCTTTGTATGCAGAAGGTAGGTTTTGGGTTATGTTGTTAAATAGTGATTGAATGGAATATTTATGTATTTGTCAACTATAGTGCATAGCATAGATAGGGTAATGTTTCAAGAAGTAGTTTTGTGCATTTTTCCTTTAGTCCTCACAACAGTCCTTCAGGGTAAGTTCTTTTGTTGTCCCTATTTTACATATGAAGAAACTGAGGCTTAGTTAGGCAAGTCACTTGCTCAAGGTCAGTAGTTAGTGGCTGAGCCAGATCTGTCTGGTTCTAAGGCACGTGTATATTTTATCCTGTCCAATTTTTTTCACCTCCACTTTGATAATCAGTATTTGTCTCATTTATCTCAAAGAAAGTCAGAATACATAGCTGTGTTTCGTATTTATATTTTACTTAAAAAACAGTGAAATAAATACTAAAAAAAGGTGTTCTGTCAATAGTCAATGAGCATATGGTAAAAGCAGATGTTCTCTCTTAGTGATTCATGCTAGGATGTTGGGAATGATTCCTCTAACACCTGAAGGACTAGAATCAAATTAAATGGGGCTACAAGCTACAGAGACTATGAAAGGTGTACTACAGGACGCAGCATAATGACTCCTGAGCAGTTAATTTGTATCTAGAAGCAGGTCTCTTTGCTCTTCTAGAATCCTTTCTTCCTGGACATTCTCCTCCAACCTTCACCAGTATGGTTTTTTATTGGAATAAATAATGAGTTTTGGTACAAGGAAACTTCAGAGGTAATTTTATCTCTAGTTGTAACTAAAATAATAGGCCTATATTAAGCAATGTGTTTCTTGAAACATTTTCAGTAGCTCAGGCCTATTCATGTAGAAAGTAGTTGAAAACATATTCCGAGCAGTTTTTCACTTTATTGTTGTAATTCTTTGTGTAAAAGCAAAAATAAATAAATAAATGAGGTGGAGGGTGGGGAGGGTGAGTACCAAGAGGTAGAGTGAAAACAGCTAGGTTAATGTAGGTTTGGTTGTTGTTTTCCTTCTTTATTCTTGCATACCCAAAAGCGAACGTCTTAGCAATGGTGGGTTCATTTCAAAGTTGATCGTGGTTCAGAGGATCCTCTTGAATTCCTCAGCAGCCTAATTTGCCCTCAAAATCGAGGTGCTGAGGCATGTTCCATAGAGACTCAGGACTCCTTCCACCTCTAAAGGGCACTCAGAATCAGACTTCATGGAGGTGTTCTAGATCGAGCGTGATCTGTCAGCAGACCCGAATCTCAACCTACATCCGCAATTTCTCTGCATCCTTTATTCCATCCATCCCTTCATCTAGCACCTATGTTCTGTCAAGTTCTAGGAAGTTAAGCAAATTCCTGACTTAAGACCTTATTATATTCTAAGGGGGAAGAGGAATGAGAATAATAGGCAGTGGTAGACAGTTTGAAGAATACCAAGTCCATCAGCAGGAAGGGATTTCTTCAATGTTTTCCCATTGACTTTCAACAGATAGTTGTATTCTTTTGACATGAAAGACAGTACTGTCTTACATGAAAGACCTCATTGATATTTTAACGTTTACAGACTAAGAGAGAATTCTGTGTTCTTTTTCCTCTTTACTTTCTCTGTTCTCATTCTTTTCTACTCACATAGCGTATCGATTATCTACTGCCACATAACAAACTCCTGAAAATATAGTGGCCTAAAACAGCTACCATTTATTTGACTTCCCATTCTGTGGATTGGTTGAGCAGATTCTGGTCTGGGTGAGTTCAGCTGATCTCTGCTGGCTCTCTAGCTCAGTTGGCTAGAAGCTTGAATGGTAGCTGGACAGTCTACAGTGGTCTCACTTAAATCTAACCATTGGCAGGCTGTTGACCAGGCAGAGAGAGGACAGCTTGGCCATGTGTCTCTCATCAGCCATCAGGCTAACTTGGGCATCTTCACATGGTCATAGTGGCTATGTGGATCCTAAGATCAGTAAGAGAGTGGAAGCGGCAAAGTCTGTTGAGGTCTGGTTATGGAAACTGCACAGCGTTACTTCTGCCTCATTCTGTTAGTCGGAGCTGGTCACAAGATCAGCCCAGATTCAGTAGGGGTAGAGAAACAGATTTCTACTCTTGATGGAAGGACCTACAGCATTATGTTGCAAAGAGTATGATGCAGTGAAGGAAAGAGTTTGTAGCCATTTGTGCAGTCAGTCACACATTGTAAACCCCTTCTCCCATGAACATACCCTAAAACTCTTGGTGAGTTTTTAGGAATTATGATATGGGGTTTTATTATCTAAAAATGTATATAATTTAATGTTGGGAGGTCTGTCCTATTCTTTGAAATAGCTGTTACCAGGGAACAGTTAGTTTTCATTCTGTTCCTAGTAGAAAACAGTCTTTTTTTTTTTTTTTTTTTTTTTTTGAGACGGTGTTTCGTTCTGTCGCCCAGGCTGGAGTGCGGTGGTGTGATCTCAGCTCACTGCAAGCTCCGCCTCCGGGTTCACACGATTCTCCTGCCTCAGCCTCCCAAGTAGCTGGAACTACAGGTGCCTGCCACCACGCCGGCTAATTTTTTTGTATGTTTAGTAGAGACGAGGTTTTCACCATATTAACCAGGATGGTCTCCATCTCCTGACCTCATGACCCGCCTGCCTCGGCCTCCCAAAGTGCTGGGATTACAGGCATGAGTCACCGCACCCGGCCGAAAACAGTCTTTTTAACTTCCTTTTGTTTTTTGGTGGGGTTAGCATTTAACTTGCAGCTTTCTGAGATGAATATAGAGGGTCTGTATGATTATTAACCATGTGATCTGTTAATATTACCCATGACAGCCATTGTAGACTAAAGATAAACACACAGAGTTTGTTTACTTGATCAGTTAATTTACTTGATCAGTTACCTTAGTGCATTTTAAAATGTATTTGTGTAACAAGACGTTCATAATAATAACTAACATGTATTAAGTGCTATCTGTGAGACACTGCCTAAGTTATAGGTATCATCTTATTTAATTTTCATAACAACAAAAAACAAAAATGTAGATATTATTAGTAATACCATTTTAGAGATGAAGAAACTTGTGCTTAGAAATTTACAAATATGCCCAGGACCACATGACCAGTGCTCTTCTCTAAGGTTCAACAAAGACGATATCGTAATTCAGACTGCAGATCTGCCAACATTCAAATGGATCTAGTCCTCGAGTGTTATTTTCTAACTCCGTTTTTAGATGCACCATTGTATAGCCCTTACAACTGGGCCTGTCCCTTCTGTAGACGTTGGAGTACCTGAACTCCACAGAACCCCAGGTTACACACTAAGGACACAGGTTGTTAGGGCTCCTGGATGAGGGCAAGTGTGTTTATTTTAAACCATATGCTTTTGGCTACTGAGCTTATTTCAAAAGTGAAAGCTTAAGCACATTATTAGACTTCTCAAGGAGAGTTCCCCTAGATTGGGAGAAAAGTTGACATTGGGTAATATTAAATTTCTTTTAAAACCAGGGCTATTTTATTGTTGTTTACAATTTTAAGAGTCTGGACTGAAAGAGTCATGAAGTGCAGCCACCTATCTGACCTCTTCCCCCAACAGTTAGGGAATTCTCTCTGCCCCGAGGCCATCCAACCTTCCCTTGCTCTCCTGGATGAGACCCTGACAATTCCCTGAAATTGTAACCTCTTCCTTACTGCTGAGGCTAAGAAGAGGATCTTTTCTACTTTACTCCATTTAGGGTTTTTCTTTCTATCTGTGTAGATTGTGGTTTTTTGTTTTTTCTTTTTAATTTTATTTTAAAACAGGAAGAACAGTTATCTAATATTAGAAATCAAGGAAGCAATGTTTGTATTGGTCACGATAGGCTCAGACTAAAAGAATTATGCTGTAAGTAGTTGTATTGAAGAATATTTGAAATGCTTTTAAACTATTTGCTTAAAACTATACCTATTTGTATAATGTGACCAGATTAAATTGATTGTATCTTTGGGTGGCACCAAATATGTTGGTTTCTTGCATGGATTGATCATTCTGAAGCTCATGAGTTCTGTGGGTCTCAGGTGGGTGGAAGTTCCCATCTTAGTCCTTAAGACTCTTACCCCAATGGAAAGAGGTGAGGATTTCTGTAATAGCTATTAAGATAAGAGATATTAGGCCGGGCGCGGTGGCTCAAGCCTGTAATCCCAGCACTTTGGGAGGCCGAGACGGGCGGATCACGAGGTCAGGAGATCGAGACCATCCTTGCTAACACGGTGAAACCCCGTCTCAACTAAAAAATACAAAAAACTAGCTGGGCGAGGTGGCGGGCGCCTGTAGTCCCAGCTACTCGGGAGGCTGAGGCAGGAGAATGGCGTAAACCCAGGAGGCGGAGCTTGCAGTGAGCTGAGATCCGACCACTGCACTCCAGCCTGGGCGACAGAGCGAGACTCTGTCTCAAAAAAAAAAAAAGAGATATTCCTAAGAAGGAATATTATATTATTACGGAAATTTTCAAACATCAAAAAGGTTTGAGGCCAGGCACTGTGGCTTGTGCCTGTAATCTTAGCACTTTGGGAGGCTGAGGTGGGCAGATCACAAGGTCAGGAGATAGAGACCATCCTGGGTAACACAGTGAAACCCTGTCTGTACTAAAAATACAAAAAATTAGCCGGGCGTGGTGGCAGGCGCCTGTAGTTCCAGCTACTTGGGAGGCTGAGGCAGGAGAATGGCATGATCCTAGGAGGTGGAGCTTACAGTGAGCTGAGATCACACCACTGCACTCCAGCCTGGGCGACAGAGCGAGACTCCACCTCAAAAATAAATAAATAAATAAAAATAAAATATAATAAAAAGGTTTGAAAGAATAATGTAACAAAGCCCCATGTACCTGCTTTAACTATTGTCAACGTATGTCCAATCTTGTTTCAAAGTCAGTCCTGGACATATCATCCATAAGAAGTCTTCCTGAAGACATTCAAAAGAGGGAAGTCTTTGCTTTGGAACCCTGATGTGATCACTTTAATCATTGCTTCTATGCCTGTAGCTGAAGGAACCGCCAGCTTTTTCAAACCTCTAATCCTTCTGCATCCCTTTTCCAGGGCCCAGTCATATATGCACAGTTAGACCACTCCGGCGGACATCACAGTGACAAGATTAACAAGTCAGAGTCTGTGGTGTATGCGGATATCCGAAAAAATTAAGAGAAGACCTAGAACATATCCTCAGCAAGAAACAAAACCAAACTGGACTCTTGTGCAGAAAATGTAGCCCATTGCACATGCAGCCTTGGAGACCCAGGCAAGGACAAGTACATGTGTATTCACGGAGGGAGAGAAAGATGTGTACAAAGGATACGTATAAATATTCTATTTAATCTTCCTGATGTGAGGAGCCAGTGTTGCATGATGAAAAGATGATATGATTCTACATATGTACCCATTGTCTTGCTGTTTTTGTACTTTCTTTTCAGGTCATTTACAATTGGGAGATTTCAGAAACATTCCTTTCACCATCATTTAGAAATGGTTTGCCTTAATGGAGACAATAGCAGATCCTGTAGTATTTGCAGTAGACATGGCCTTTTAATCTAAGGGCTTAATCAGTCTTAGCATTTATTGTAGTTGGAGGATGGGGATGCTATGATGGAAGCATACCCAGGAGCCTTTAACACAGTACCAGTACCATTTATTTGTCTGCAGCTTTTAAAAAACATCCATTGGCTATGCCACTTGAAAACAATTTGAGAAGTTTTTTTGATGTTTTTTTCACTAAAATATGGGGCAATTTTTAGCCTTACATATTGTGTAGACTTACTTTAAGTTGCACCCTTGAAATGTGTCCTTTCAATTTCTGGATTCATAATGCAAGATTAGCAAAGGATAAATGCCGAAGGTCACTTCATTCTGGATACTGTTGGATCAATACTGATTAAGTAGAAAAATCCAAGCTTTGCTTGAGAACTTTTGTAAAATGGAGAGTAAAAGGTATCGGTTTTATTCTTTGCTGATGTCCTTTCTGCTTGAAATAACAGTTACCATACAGCTAAAGGAGAGGAGTTTCTTTCCTTCTAAGTAGGCAGAAATGGGATCATTATGTTGCCACTCGGCCACTCTCCAATATCCTAGAGCTTGCTCTCTAGAGAATCACATTCTTTTGCTTTTTTTCTTTCTCTTTTTCTTTTCTTTTCTTTTTTTTTTTTTGGAGGTAGAGTCTCACTATGTTGCCCAGACTAGCCTTGAACTCTTGGGCTCAAGTGATTCTCCCTCCTCAGCCTCCCGAGTAGCTGGAACGAACTATAGTTGCACCACTGCAGCTGGCAAGAGTCACCTTCTTTATAAAGCGTCAGTCATGCTTCCAGCAAGAAGCAGCATCAGTCATGGCTTTATAACAGCTTCATGGTGCCTCAAAGACTGTTGAGGTCAATGAGAGCCTAGATTAGATAGTTTGGCTGTCCTTTCCTAAAACTTGTTTTCTCCCATTCACTACTCCCCACCCCACTTAAAATCTATGAGTTTTTACTTTTTACTGGGAATGGAAAGCATGGTGAAGATCATTAAACACTTATGTTGTCATTTCTCCCATTTTCTGGATTTCTTTTTTAATTTTCCCCCTTTTAAAATTGTCCTAAAGCCCACAGTTACGGGAAGAATACGGTCTAGATGGTCTGCAGAACGTGTTTGGGGTGAGTGGGAGTGAGGGGCGATGTTACTTTTCTCCCCTCTAGTTTGGAGTCCACTATGAACTGCTGCTTTTTCTTCTCATCTTGTCATCTTCTGGGGATGTTTGAAGGCTGAGTTCTAAGAGAATTCGTAAAGGGAATAAAACAGGATTGAGATTTCGAGGTGTGCACAAGGTGATAAGATAAAGGGCATATGAGCTTCAAAACTAACTCTGTCCCACACATGAAGCCTTTTGTTTTTTGAGGAGCTATTTTTGTTATTCTTGTAACGCTCCACCTTACATGCCACATCCGTGTGAGTCAACAGGGATCAGGTTTGGTCACCACATACATCTGAAGCTGGCCAGCATCTGCTCTTTGTTCTGTGTGGAATGGAGAAAAATATGCTTGCCCTGCTGCCTTCCATGTTCATAAGCCCAGCCCGAGAGAGTGACACACAGTGACATAGTGCTGGCCCTGAGACATTTCCCCAAAGTGGTCAACTCTGCCTTGCATCCTAAAACTTTTTGGGCATCTATTTTGAAAACCATGGGAGACTTTGGAAGGCGTCTTATGTGTGTTTGGAGGGGAAGGGTGTTAGATTGTCACCATCCTTCAAGCTGAGACTCGTGGTGAGCCTTTGCCACCGTGAAAACCACATAGCGGACCAAGGCTGTGCTTTGAGGTACAGAGGACACACATTGTAGACAGGCCTGTGTCATGTTTCCTTACAGTCGTTTTTTTACAGAGAAAAGGGGCGTTTTTTCACTTCTTTCTCAACAGTTCCTGTGAATAAATGAAACATTTCGGTGCTCCCTAAGAGCAAGAGCCCTCACTTCTTCTTGCAGTGCCGGCACCATGTGTTGGTGAAGCTGGTGCTCTGGGGGCCGCTCACTCAAATGACACCTGGAGGCCGTTTCCTCCCTGATCACCCCCTTCCCCAGCCTGACTTTTTGGCCTCCTGCCCAACCAGACACCTCAAACTCTGTCAGCGCCCTGGCATTCTGGCAGAGAATCCTCACCAGTTCTCACCAACCTTCTCCCCAGGCAAGAGAAGCTGCCAGCTTGGCACTCTGCCAGGACGGGTTTCCCTGGAGGAAGCTGCTCACACTGAGATGAGCCTCTCAGGGCAGGACCTCTTCCCAAGCCCCACACACCCACCCCTGCAGCCCTTTTGGCTCCCCTTTTTCCCCGTGCCTCAGCACTCCTTGCCTGGCTGCAGATAACGAACTGGGGTTGCCTAAAGGGCAGATCTGCCCTCTCCGTGTCTTCGTCCTGGCAAAAAGAGTCCTCTTAAAATTATGCGCTAATTCTGTACGGGAGCATGCAAAAGACATCACTTAGAGATTGAAATTTCAAACTATCTGTAGTTTTTCAATGGAAATGTATCAGATAGGGAAAAACGATCAAGCTCATTATTATTTTTTGATCTTCAGTTGTATTTTTGTGAATATTTTAATACATCTTTTTCAATTTCTGGATTGTGTTGTGTGCTCATTTTGACCAAAATAGAAAAAGAGATATGCCTTTCACTCATACCATTCCAGCTACACCTGCCTTCTTTTCTTCAAAAATGCCATCCGTGTACCTGCTTCTGGGCCTTTGCACATGCTGTTCCCTGGGCCTGAAGCACTTTCTGCAGATAATCCTGTGGTTTGCTCTCTGACTTCCTTTAAGCCTCTGCTCAGATGTTACCTCCTCAGGGAGACCTTCTGTGATATATAAAAGAGCAAGCCCCCCGCCCCCACCACCTCAGCCTTGCTAGCCCCCTCAATTCTGCTCTGCTTGCTCTATTTCTCTCCCTCTCTCCCAGTACACACTTAACTTGTCTGTTCTTCCCCACTAGAACATAGGCAACAAGAGGCCAGGACCTTGCTGTTTTGTTCACTGCTCCGTCTGCAGTAAGGGGAACAGTGCCTGGCACTTAGCTGCTCAATACATGTTACCTGGATGGATGACTGTGGAAGGATTCATCCACTCAGCAACCTACACAGAACAATCCTGTGCCAAGCACTGTGCTAAGCATAAGGAAACAAGATAAAGCTCCTCAAGGAGCTTGCCACAGGGCGGAGGTGACAGGTGACATGAATGGAAATAACTAGTAGTTACCAAATACTTGGTGTGAGCCAGGCACTTTGCATTTCTTGCTCTATTATTTCTGTGAGTTCATAGTAATTGTACTAATCTTAATCCCATTGTTTGAAAGATTATATGGCTTGCCCAAGGCCACTTAGCTAATAAGGTACAGAGAAGAGGGGCTGGGCCTGGGGCCGCCTTTTGATCGAAAGCCTTGTTCCTAACCACTATGTCCTGTGGCCTCTCACACCAAAGGGAAGAACCAAACTGCTTCCTTACTCAAATAAATGTGCTGCGTGCCTGAAATGCAGTTGCAGTTTTCTCCCAGTCCCTTAGGAGCTGGTTAGGGACAAACTTGAGAGGGTAGTGTAGTCCAGGTGGTAGGCACAGATGTCTGAGAGTTTTAACCTCAGTCTGGAAGACAATATGGTGACTTAATTTGTTGAGAACTATGTTACAAATAATGTGTTACTAATAAAACATTGAGGCTTTGCAGTGACTTAGTAATTTTATAAATTACCATGGATTCACAATGAGCCCCTGCCTTGCATAACTTCGGGCTTGCAAAACCTAATGCGTTCTTGAGTGGGAGCGGACGAGTTACAGCTGGCAGGAACTCCCCTGGGAGTAATTCTCACATGCGAACAGCATCCATCTTATGTGATGTGACAAAAAGAAAAGGGATGCGTCCTCCACCACACAAGGGCAGCAGTGAGTGACAGAATCACATTTTTGTCAAATCTGCAATTCCTTCCAAGTCAGCACTAAGTGTCGGGAGGGCATCCATCTGCTAGGGCTCTGGTTTCCAAGCTACATCGGGGCCTTGCCAACCAAAGATGTACTTACTATTTATGAGAGCAGCTTCCACCCCTGAGGGAGCTGAGTTGAGCAGTGTTTAGAGGAAACTCAGATACTCTCTCACCCCAGTTGGCTCCCTTCTGACCCCTCTGGGTGGTTCCCGTGCTAACTGGACTGGGGAACCACTGACTTAATCTTCCCACTGTGGAGGGAAGGCGAGGGAGCAGCCACAGGGAGAAAAGTGGCATCTGTGGCACTGGTAGAGCTGGTGGTAGGAACTTATGGTGGGTTTTCTCCTGCACTTTCCTCTCGCATAGTCAAGATACTTTGTTACGAAAAATTTCAATATATTTTGATTTTTTTAAGAATTACTTTAATGAAATTGCCCTTTGACATAATTTGAAAAAAAAAATTTTTTTTTTTTGAGACAGTCTCGCTCTGTCACCCAGGCTGGAGTGCAGTGGCGTGATCTTGGCTCACTGCAAGTTCCACCTCCCAGGTTCCAGCGATTCTCCCACCTCAGCCTCCCAAGTAGCTGGTATTATAGGCATGCGCCACCACACCGGGCTAATTTTTTGTATTTTTAGTAGAGATGCTCGCCTTAGTCTCCCAAAGTGCTGGGATTACAGGTGTGAGCCACCATGCCCAGCCTCTTTGACATAATTCTATCAACCTACATTGAAGTATGTCATAAAAAAGAGTCCTAGGAAACTAGCTACTTATTGTACTTTACTGCCAGGATGCCTTTGAGAACGTTGTTCTCTGTCATACATTTTTCAATTTTATAAAGACCTACAGCACAAATATCTCTCTGGATTTAATACAAGATGATAGGGTTGAGATCTGTGTCCCAGCCTAAATCTGTCAAATTGCGATCCCCAGCATTGGAGGTGAGGCCCGGTGGGAGGTGACTGGATCACAGGGAGTAGATTTCTCATGAATGGGTTAGCACCGTCCTCGCTGGTAAAGTTCTCGTGATTGTGAGTTCTCACGGGACCTGGTTGTTTAAAAACATGCAGCACCCTCCCACTTTGCTCTCTCGCTCCTCCTCCTGCCACGTGAGATGCCTCATGAGAAGCCTCACAAGAAGCCTCACTCCCACTTCGCCTTCCGCCATGTTTGGAAGCTTCCTGAGGCCTCACCAGAAGCCAAAGACACTATGCTGCCCGTGTAACCTGCAGAACCGTGAGCCAATTAAACCTCTTTTCTTCATAAATTATCCAGTCTTGAGGTTTTGTTTTTGGTTTGTTTTTGTTTTTGTTTTTGTTTTTTTAAATGGAGTCTCACTCTGTCACCCAGGCTGGAGTGTAGTAGCGCGATCTTGGCTCACTGCAACCTCCACTTCCTGGGTTCAAGCGATTCCCCTGCCTCAGCCTCCTGAGTAGCTGGGATTACAGGCATGCGCCACCATTCCCTGCTAATTTTTTTTGTATTGTAGTGGAGATAGGGTTTCACCATGTTGGCCAGGCTGGTCTTGAACTCTTGACCTCACATGATCCACCCACCTCGGCCTCCCAAAGTGCTGGGATCATAGGTGTGAGCCACCATACCTGGCCTACAGTCTCCGGAATTTTTTATAGCAGTGTGAAAACAACTAACATACCAGGAAAACTGTTCCTTATGAAAATTTTGTTTCATGCTAGTCGTGTGCACTGACTTGTAACTGATTGTATTTGTCTCTTTGCTTTTGCTAATCTCTAGGTCCTAGCCAAATTTGTGGGTCATTTTCTACCACTGTACACAGATTGTACACTCCATATACACTTTGTACATTAACTTTACTCATAGCTTTATGTGCATCTTGGATTATGTTCAGCTCTATGATCTGTCTCAGTTTTTTACAGTGATACAATAATAGATGTATCTTGATTTAGACAGAGAAAGTAGGTAGGTAGAGATTCTGGCCATGGCATCAGAGAGCTTCATAATGCCAACCACAGACTTACTCTTGACTCCACAAAAACCATTTCACAAATTCCTATTGTTGCCCAAAAGAGGTAAAAAAAGTAGATGACTGGCTGAGTGTAACAAAACTACACGACAGGAATTACAACTCACATACAGCCTAGAGTCACCATTCTGTTATACCCTGTCCATCAGTGATGGAAAGCCAGGTTCCTATGTGCTGAAAGTTCATCTCTGTTATTGCAGGTGTGATTTCCATTGGTATTAATGAGCTTGAAATATGAAGGCCACAGGGAACTGCTGCTTCCAGCTTCCATTTCCTCCTGCAAACAGGATGTGAAGCTATTGTCCCTTCTTGGCTCAGGCTTTTGGATTTGTTTGTCCATCCATTTCTTCACTGTGGGCTTTGTGGGGCTGGCCTTCAGTGTTCCAGAATATAAGGAAGGACTGGGTTGGTTGGTTTGTTTGTTTTTTAAAATCTCCCTGCCTCTGTGAAGAGGATGTCTTGCAGATTTGCTTTCAAGCCTTGCCCTCCGTGCTGTGGGGCTGACGAAATTCCGGTTATTTTGCCCTTCAGGGCATTACATAATTTCATGTAGTTTTACCTGAGTCATTGCTCTGCTATGAGAGTCGGGGATAGAACAGCTAAAAACCATCTTAAGGCCGGAGGTTTCTCATTCTCTGATAAAGACTCCAAGGAAACTGAATTCCAATACTAGAGTACATTCTTGGTTCTTTCTCTGCCTTTGAATAGAATTATTTTTTAAATTACAAAGTTTCTTTGAAAAGAAACAACTTTTAAATATATTTTGTAGGGAATCTCTTAGAATATACAATAGACCCACAGGAATGTGGAACATCTGGCCAGGTGCGGTGGCTCACACCTGTAATCCCAGCAATTTGGGAGGCCGAGGCAGGCGGATCACTTGAGGTCAGGAGTTCAAGACCAGCCTGGTCCACATGGTGAAACCCCCATCTCTACTAAAAATACAAAAAATTAGCCAGGTGTGGTGGCGCGCACCTGTAGTTCCAGCTACTCAGGAGCCTGAAGTGGGAGAATCACTTAAACTCAGGAGACAGAGGTTGCAGTGAGCCAAGATTGCGCCATTGCACTCCAGCCTGGGCGACAGAGCGAGACTCCATCAAAAAAAAAAAAAAAAGAAAAGGATGTGGAACATTTTACAAAACCTCGTCCACGATCTTGCCAGCCCAACAGAATCCCAGATGTTTGGCTATAATGCATCTGGATGTTCCTATCTGAGAAAAAGCCTTAGTCTTGTAAAGCTATTCCTGAAGAAGGGAAAACTTTCTGAAAAGCTTGCTCAAGTACCTGGGTCCCAAGAATGTCAAGCATCTGTGGAACACACAGTTCCCAGCAGCCAGCAAGTCCCACACTGCTCCGTGTCCTACAGCCAAGGAAGCTGAACCAAGCTCATGGGGTTACAGGAATACGAAGCAACACTGCCTCGCTGGCAAGGATACCAGAGGGCTGAGTGCTGCCTGACTCCCTCTGACACACCAGGCTCTTGGAGAGGAGGTCGTGGTAATCATTTAATGCTGACTAATTGAGGTTGAGCAAGAGAGAAAAATACCCGAGGGAGATACATGAAATAAACTTAGGAGGAGAGCTTGTACTTGGCTGGAAATAACTGGCCTTATTCCATATCCTCTCTAAAAAATACCATAAGAGAAAGTAAAAA